GTTCCCGAAAGTCTATTCGTTCAGAGAGGATGAAGTTCCCGGTATCTTCAAGTACCTCATTGAGAATAATAAGATCAAATTACCTCCAATCCAGGATCAGGAAGATTCCAAGAGAGTCAATGATCCAAAATACTGCGCATTCCATAGAGCGGTGCACCATCCTACCAAGGTATGCTATGCTCTTAAGGACAAGATCCAAGCTCTCATCGATGTCGGGGTCATCACAATGAAGCAGCCGAAGGAGAAGAGAGTGGGAGCAAATGCAGTATCGATTAGCTTCGGTTCTGTTCCCTTAAACTGGTTTCAGCATGAACCAGTAGTAAACGCGGCAGTGAAGACGGTGAACGATGATCCTCACAAGCAGCGCCAGAAAGGACTTGTGCCACACACAGCCCCTAATGGTGAGATCCTTTGGGTTCACCCAGATTTGATTGGAGATAAACAATGGACTGGAACCTCTTCCAAGAAAAAGTCAAAAGGAAAAGGTAAGTCTTGTTATGGAGCTTCTGCTATTCCAGGGGAAGATGACGAAGAAATTCCCGCCTTCCCGCTTTCTGAAGATGAACAGGAGGCCTTTGCGACCCGAAGCGGGAATGAGTATCACTACAAGTACCCGGATGCTTCCGAGCAATTAGGTACCAACACTCCTCCGTCCAAGACGTTGGCAGAACTGGGAATAGCAGCAATTCCCCCAACGCCCGTAGCTACGGAGAAGGTCCAGCAGAAGGAGAAGGGGAAAGAACCTTTACGCCAAGAGGCCCAAAACCCGAGGCAGTCTCGATTCAATCATCCGATTGGAAGAGACAAACCGGGAAATGCGAGCTCTCCGCCTCAGTTCGACATCATGGCGCAGTTGGCCAATATCCCGGCTAGGATCACCCTATACGAGCTATTGTGTCTGTCCAAAGATACAAGGAAAGCACTACAAGAGGCCTTGAGCGACTCTGAAGCTTTTCTAACCCGAATCAAGCCATCTCCTGAAGAACCAGAACCGTCAACTCAGCACTGTAATCTCGCGGCGCATTATTTTCCATGCATCTCTTTTACCAAAGAAGACATGCAGACGAAGAACTCGAAGCATGATCGGCCCTTGTACTTCACCGGGCACATTGGCTCCAGCATGGTCAACAGGATCCAAGTTGATCCGGGTTCTGCTGTTAGCATCATGCCATTCCGACTGATGCATCATCTCGGAATACCAACGAGCAAGCTAGCGTCCACGGGCACTACAATCTACGGATTCAACACTAGCGGGTCTAGACCCTTGGGGAAGATTCGAATCAAATGCCAGATCGGGGATTTAAAATCAGAAGTTACCTGCTATGTGATTGACGCAGAAACGTCCTATAACTTACTATTGGGTCGACCTTGGATCCACGGTAACCTTATAGTCCCGTCAACTTTGCACCAGTGCCTCAAATATGTGGACACAAATAATGAAGTCAAGACGGTGGTCGCGGATAAGCAACCGTTTAAGGGATTGGAAAACTATTTCACCGATTCCCTTCTATACGGCGCTGAATCCGATACTGAATCACCGGCCCAAGGAACGGACAGCGGTTTTTGAGAGGGGCTGATCATTTTGAGCACTTCAGAGCAGAGAAAGAGCAGAGTTCTTGAGTTTCTGGCAACTCCTTGATATTCAGGCTTTGACTTGATTTCAAGAAGAACGACTATCTTACCTTGATAAGATATCGTTTCAAGTTCTCACTTCGATAAACGAAGTCAGAATCATAAACCCCTCACGATTCGATCAGAATCTGTGATTTGGTGGTCCACGGGCTAACGCACCCCCGGCACAGGCAAAGATCCCACGCAAGCAGTGATCCAAACAACGATCCTGCGTTTGTTTCCCAAGAGTTGTAATTTTCATTTTGTTGTGTAAAAGAAGTCTTATAAAAAGGCTATTTCTTTTGAATTTATTGTAATCGACTGAAGATATAATGAATTCCATGACAAAACCAACTTTTGACGCAAACAATGGTTACGGTCGATCCCACCACAATAGAGGAAGACGACCAGATGCCGACATGGGAAGATCCTTGGGTTCATCACCTAAACATGCAGTATGGTGATAGGTTCGAGCAAAGAGAACCTCCTACCGAAGATCAAGTACTCCAGGTAAATATGGGCAGCGAAGATAATCTGAAGCCTATATTCATTAGCGACAGCCTCCCGCCCGAAGAGAAAGAGGAGTTAATCTCTCTTGTTAGGGAGTACATCGATGTGTTCGCCTGGAATTATGAAGACATGCCGGGGCTCAATCCAAACGTAGCAGTGCATCGTCTCAATATTAAGTCGGATGTCAAACCTGTCAAACAGCAACAAAGACGGTTTCGTCCGCAAATGATAGAAGCAATTGAGGCCGAAGTTAAGAAGCTTATTGACTCGGGCTTCGTTCGGGAAGAACAGCATCCGGAGTGGCTCGCCAATATTGTCCCAGTCCTTAAGAAGAACGGGAAAGTCAGAATTTGTATCGACTTTTGGGACCTCAATGCCGCTTGCCCAAAAGATGATTTTTCCCTTCCCATCACAGATGTTATCATCGACAATACGTGTGGGTTCGAGAGGATGTCTTTCATGGATGGTTTCTCTGGTTATAACCAAATAAAGATGCATCCAGATGATGAAAAGCATACCGCATTTAGAACGCCTCTCGACGTCTTCTGCTACACAGTTATGCCCTTCGGCTTAAAGAATGCAGGTGCTACATATCAACGAGCCATGTCAAAGATCTTTCAGGAGCATCTCCGAAAGACTGTCGAATGCTACGTAGATGATTTGGTCGTGAAAAGTCGTGATAAGAAAGATCACATTAAGGACTTGAAGACCATGTTCGACTTGATGCGAGCCCATCAATTGAAGATGAATCCTACCAAGTCTTTCCTCGGAATGTCCAGTGGTAAATTCCTGGGATTTGTCGTCACTACCAAAGGTATTCACATCGATCCTGATAAGGTAAAGGCGATCAATGAATTACAACCTCCGAGGAACCTTAAGGAGCTCAGAGGATTGCAAGGGCGACTGGCTTATATCCGTCGGTTCATTTCAAACCTCTCAGGGAAATGCCAACCATTCTCCAAGCTCGCAAAGAAGGGCGTGTCTTTTGTATGGGATGAAGCTTGTCAAAAGGCATTCGAAGGTATTAAAGAATATCTCTCAAAACCTCCTGTACTCATTGCACCGAAATCGGGCAAACCGTTCTTGATTTATGTCAAGGCGACGAGCCACTCATTAAGTGCATTGCTTGCACAAGATGACGATAACGGTCACGAGCAGGCAGTGTATTACTTGAGCCGAACCATGGTGGGCGCCGAGTCTCGATATCCTATGATTGAGAGAGAATGCCTCGCCTTGGTATTCGCTATTCAGAAGATGCGGCATTATCTGGTTGGACAGACCATTTACGTCATCTCTAAAGTTAATCCGGTTCGAGTATTCATGACTCAACCGGCTTCCATGAGTTGGCGGTTAGCAAAATGGGCCTTACTCTTATCCCAATACGACTTGCATTTCAAGCAACAGAAGTCGGTAAAAGGACAGGCCATCTGTGATCTCCTGGCAGACAATCCAACTACGGACGCCGCCGAGATATATGACGATCTACCCGATGAAACCCACGAAGTCAACGCAACTT